TCTAAGTCAATCAAATCTTAGGAACGAATCTAATGACAGGAGTTTAGGGGAAATTAAAAACGCCCCATCAGAGTCGCGAGGGAACTCAAACGAAAGACAACGTTCCCCTCGAAGAACTTCCCCCGCCCCCTCTCCTTCTTCAAAGCCAAGTCTTCCCTCCACCACGATTTCTCGAATGTTTCGCCTCGCGAAATCATGGCGATCCGCATTGGATAACGCTACGCTGCCCTAATGAGAGGCTTACTAGGGAGCGGATAAAGGGCATCGGGGTTCGTGGATCGTCGGTGGATCCCGGTGGCACGACCGCACGCCATAAAAGCGCTCTCTATATTTAGCCACGGTTCCCCATATGTTCCCCACCTACGTGGCCGGGACCGCGAACCACGCTCGCACGTGTTTTACGACTGTGCACGCCGGTGATCCCGAGCACCCGCCACGATTCGCAATCCTAGCCCGGGTTACAACCCTCCACGACCCTTTCGCCACTCTCTCTCTCTCTCTCTCTCCCCCGGCTGTCGCTCCATTTGCGCTCAAAAGCGGCCCCCCTCTCCCTCCGTTAATTTTCTTGTTTACGAAGCGATGATCGTGCATTCTTTATCTCGATTTATGAATGTTTCGATTCGATTTTCTTTTTTTTTTTAAATTGTGTCTGTCGTTTGTCTTCATCTTTGATGATCGTTTCATTCCAATATGGTCTTTTTCTTCTTTCTTTTTTTTTTTTTTCTTTGAGAATCTTTGCCACGTTAATTATATTATTTTGGGGAAAATAAGTTTAGATCGTTTGAAATGTTTTATTCTAATTCGTTTCAAGAAAAGGAAAATGGAGAACGATTAATAAATTGTACGAATTCTTTATAAAATTATCAATGGAATTATATATATATAAGAGAGAATTAAATCATGATTCGCAAATTCTCCTTCTTCTCCCCTCATTCGAAACGATAAATTGGCAGCGGCGTGAATAAAAAATAAGCGAATAGACGAATCTTCCCCTCGATCGCCATTAATCGAGGCTCGATGCTAATAAAAGCTCGAGGAAGCAACGTTTGTCCACGCCACGTGAATAATCGCGTTAACGACTCCGACGCGTTGACTGACACGGTCCATTAATCGCGGCCAAGTAAACATTATACCTCTCCCCTCGATTTATTAATTCGATCGCGCGATCGATCGATCGATCGTCAAACGGACACCGTTTAATAAAGATCGATCGAAGCCTCGCCCGTATTTCCACCGCAGAGATTTCGCGATTTATTATCGGGATCGACGTCTCAATTCTGCCTTTTTCTTCTTCTTCCTTTTTTCCTTTCCCTTTCCTTCTCCTTCCGTTCGTCGATTTTCGACCCGTATCGAATACTCGCGTTACGCCACGAGCTTAATCATCGCGAACAGATTGATATCGTGATCGAGATCGATGTTGCGATCGATACATACGATGCATACGAGATTGATCGTCGCGAGCTGGGTGTACAGAGATGGACAGGGAGAAAAGATAAGGAGTTGGTAGGAGGAATACGTGTTTCTTTTTTTTTTTTTTTGGATATTCTTCTGTTTATTTCGAATTGCATTGTTTTGTTTTCAACCTGTTTGTAATTTAATAATATGGATTTAAGATAGATAACGCAGAAGATTTGTTTAATTTGAATTTAATCATTATTCCGTTTTCAAGTTGTTCTAAATTTTTTTTTAATTCAACCAGAAAATTGGTGAAACAAAGGAAAAATTTTTACCGAATTTCGAATTAAGAATTCGCGGGCGAACTCGTCCTACGAAGCTATTGTTGCATAGCTTTTGCTATTGTTGTAAGACCTCGTCTTTTCACTTTCTAATCAGAAAAATTAAGTCGCTTTACTCGATTTTTTTCTCTTGAATTCGATATAATTGAAAAATAGTAAATAATTATTATGAAAAAATATGTTTCAACTTGGATTGCATCGAAATTTTGACGACTCAAGATCGAATAAGCACAATTTTACTTTGCTTCGAATCTTAATGCAATTTAAATTGCTATTTAATTTTCTTAAAAGAGTCATAACAAGTCAATAATATTTCGGAAATATTATATATCGATGAATATTATTTATCCACGTCGTTATTTCTGACTATAAACGTTCTAATAGGGAAACGTAACGTCACTGTTTTATTTTTTATCATTACAACCCACATTTTTATTCCACGCCGCGCGCGTCGTTTCACCTCGTAACATTTGATACTGGCTAAATGTTAAGCAATTCTGTATTTAATTAACCATGATTCAACAAAGACTTGTACGAGAACTTCTGTTTAACTTCAAATTTACTTAGACAACATCGTAATTGGAGTTCGAAATATTCTTTCAAATTTCCTATTAACGAGTACATTTTATTATTAAAAGATTGTTTCAAAAACAATCTAAATTTCCACATATCCATAATTCTAAATTCTATATTCTAATAAAACCAAAGCTATCAAATAAAATCCTAATCAAATTCTATTTTTAATTCTTATCCCAAAATTTATCCATAAATAAAATAATAATGGAAACAAAATATTTTATATCTTTCGATTAAAATTCCAGAGAGAGAGAAATCGTTGCCAATTAAGATATCAGTTATCAATCAAATCGTTATCATTCTCGCTGTCATGATGACGCATATTCGACGATAATTCGAAGATAATATTGATTAAGTATGAACGAATTTTTGTACGATCGTAATTGTACCGAATATACCAGTTTCGACCGCCACGAATTTATTTTCTCCGCGTTTCTGCAATTATTGTTCCTGACGTTTCTCCGCATCGGGGAGAACTGGGTCGAAAACGTAATTCGCGATCTCTTATGCAAAAGGTGAACGACATTTCAACGGTAGCCGACTTATTGCCACATTCATGGGCCCCCTCTTTACGATAATTCCGATCGCTGGAACGAACTGGTGTAAACGGAATCTCGTTTGCTTGTAAGAGAAAATATTTTAGGTATTAATTAATTCACGGTTTTTTCTTTTTTTTTTTTTGAAAAATATCCAATTACAATTAAAAATATTTTTTAACTTTTAACTTTTGATTTTGTTTTGGTAAGAGAAATTAAAATTAACGTATAGTTGGCGTAATATTTAAATAAAAGAAAATTCGTAAATTCGTAATGTATCGTCGCGTGTAATGGATATGGAATGCACTATACACGACTTTGAAACCACGGTTCGATATCGATTAAATGCCGCTATACGAAAGGTTAGCCCGACCTCCATCTTGAAACTTCTGATGCGACTTAACGTTACTGTCTAACATCAAGGTCACGATTTTTACGAGAAAAAAAATTCATTTGAATATTGAGCGTGATCTCGAAAAGCTGGATATTTTGGTTATAAATAAATTCTACAGAGAATTTTTCCTCGTTAAAGCCGATAATTAATGCAATACTTATTATTTTTCCAACGATTTATATTTTTAATATTGTCGATTACGAAATGTAAGTAATATTCGTATTATATACGTATTTGTATTATAAAGAAGAAAAAAAAAAAAAAAACAAAAAGATTCGTTTAAAGCCATGTCAACTTTCAAGTACCCTCTCTTTCAAGCACCCTCTACCCTTCCTAAAGATTGAACCAGAGCCCGGAGGCGTCGACACCGACCAGTGACCCAGATACCCGAACCAGCCTCAAAAACATCAACATCCACCCCTTCCACTTTCCTCTATCTTGCTTCAATTCACGCAATTTCAACCTCACTTTCCTATTCTCAAACCTAATCGAAAATCACCTTCTTTTTTTATAAAAAAAACTATGTTCAATTTTTTATCTCTTTAATTTTCAAAATTCTAAAAACGTTTATTCCACTTTTCGTTATATTATTCCAACTTGTACAATTTTACTCTAATCGTATATCGATGCCATTTATTATATCTATTTTCCTCTGCATTACACCAATTTCAATCTCACTCTCCATTTCCCAATCAAAAATCACTCGCTTCTAAACAACCCCGAAGAAAACACTCCATAAAACACTATCCCTTCCTTTTCCTTGCCCTATTTCACAATTTCAATTTCATCATCAAACCTATTCCCATCTAACGTGCGTTGCGATTAAAAAGAACATCAATTTCTTCCAATTTCTCCAATTTACAAACCATCCCATTATCTGGAGAATCACACCAACCTTGCACCAATTAAAATAGTACAATTTCAATTTCACTCTCGTTCCCTACCCATTCCCCCAAAAAACCAAATCCCCACCACTCGTAGAAACACACGTTCCACGCACGAAAACAACACCCACGTTTCACAATATCAATTTCACCGCTCGAAGAACCAACAAGAATATCCACACCCGCCCCAATTATTCCCTCCCCCTGCAATCACACCAATTCGCAACAATAATAATTTCAATTTCACCGCGATTCCCAAAAACCACCCCCACCACCACCACCACTCGGATAAGCACGTTGCAACCCCGTAGCAACGCGCATCATCCCCCGAATCATCCCCGAAAACCCCATGCGCTGAGGCCGGTGCGCGGGTGGGTGTCGGATATTGCAGGTGGTTCATCCATGGTGCGTGAAAGCATCTCCCGTGTCTCACCTTGGCGACGACCCCCTTAGTCGGCCGAGAGCCCTCTCACCGGCCCGCTATCGATCACCACGCTCCACCCACGAAAATCCCTGGAAAGCCCGGCGTCGTCGNCGTGGCAACCTCCACTGCCTCCCTCCCTCTCTCGAAAAAAATCGGAAAATGCGGGAACAGAGGGAGAACGAGAGAAGAGGGAGCGCGAGCGTTGGAGGAAAACTGTGTGTGGCGCGGCACAACGAGAGGCTCCGCGTCGGGAAAAGGGAACGTGTGTACTTGGCGGACGAAGGAAGGAAAGAAGGAAGGAAGGAAGGAAGGAATGGGACGGGATGGAATGGAATGGAATGGAAAGGAAAGGAGGACGCACGCAAGCGCAACCGGCGAGCTAACCTCCACTCGATAAAACGTCGTCCTCGCCTCGGCTCTCTCGCCGTTACGTCAGCTTACGTGTTGCGTCAGCGGGACGCGTGCGCGCACGTGGTGGCCCACCATCGGTCGAGCACCACCACAGCTCGCCCGTGCAAACGAGACAGGTTTTGCGTGCACGCACGCCACGGCACCCCCGCGTCTCGTCGCCGTTTCTCTCTTCGTCCTCTCTTGGCAACCTTGGCAAGCGGGAGCTCGAGGGAGGAGGGCGGAGGAGGGGTAATGGATCGGGTGTTTGGGAATATGTGCTGCTCTATGGGGGTTGGACGAGGAGAGGATCGACGAGGTGCAATTCGTGGAAGGGGTTGCTCCGCTTTCGTTTTCGTTTCGAATTTTCGTGCGGGGAGAGTGAGTGTGTGTGTGTGTGTGTGCGTACGTGTGTGTATGCGCGCGTTCGATTCGCGGTGGACACATTCGGGAGATTGTGTGATCGGGTTTTCGAGAGGCTATGTTTCGAGGCTTTCCATTGTTCTCCAAGGATTCGAGTTTGATCGTGGCGTGTTTGTCTCTACCTCTCTCTCTCTCTCCCTCTGTATATCGATTCGACTTGTCTCCTGTTCGAGATTCAATGCGCTTTTGTGGGTTATGTGTACCGTGTTTGGCGGTTTGCAATGGCGCGAGTGAATCGAAAGCTTGTTTTTCGACAAGCTGGGGTGAGAATGGAAGGATTCGTTCTGGAAAAGATTGTTTATCGAATTTTTCCTTTCTTTCTTCCTTTTTTTTTTTTTTTTTCTAATCTAAACTCGAAGTGGACAAGTGTAAGTGCGAGTGTCGTGAGAATGGATAACAGTGTTGCGCGAAATACAAATTTCATTATTTTGTATCACCACTTTGCACAACATCGACGAAACGTTTCGCCGGGACAATCGATTAAACGTTGGTTCGCCGTTTAGAATTCCTGACAACCGAAATAAACGGAACGATAAGTCGGCGAAGGAAACACTAGGAAATTTATTCGAAACGATGTATTTTTAATGTTATAAAATTTTACGACACCGACTGAGATTACAAAGTGGTTATAATTTAAATCGATATCTTTGTAAGCGAGTCTAGGTCGAATTTAAATCGTTGAAAAATGGGATGTAAGAGGCGTAGCCACGAGTGGATAATTTTTTGGTAAAAAAGATTACACGTGTATTATTCAAGCCTCGGCTGCCTGCCTCATAAAGCACGGGAAATGATCCGGTGAAAGGGAAAGAGGCTAAATATGCAACGCGGACAATCCACCCTCGTTGAAAGAGAGTCCGCTGTATGTCGGTCGAACTTGCGCAGAATGTTCGAGAATTTTATGAATGAAAGCTCGTGCTAACGATCGACCAAACTCGGAATTCTGATTCAGGAAATATCGCCGTGCGTTTCGGCTTCTCCGACTTTCCCGAGTCAAAATCAACTTTCGAGAAAAATCGATCAGAAAAATTTTCTCACGGAATCGAATCGCCAATAACGATTTTCCAAATTATTATTCCGTTTGTATCGTCTGTAATTCATTAAGATGTAACACGAATATAAAATTTAATTCTCTCCGTAGAATATCCTAAATTTTTCTTTTCCTTTTTTTTTTTTTCAATATCCTCTTTACAAAACTCTTTAAAAATTCAAGACTCTCTCTACTCCAATCGTCAAATCGTCGAAATATATATAGAATGAAACGAACACGAAAAATCGAAATTTTGCGAATATGACGTACAAAGATATCAAGGGTTAAAATTGTTTCGATAAGATAAGAGAAGAAAAAAAAAAAATACAGAAAACGGGAGAAATATCTTCTCGAACGCAACAAATCGCAAGAAGACAAACTTCTCAAGAAACCGCACCAACAAGAAGTGGCTCTCAACAAGAAGAGGAAGCGGTGCCAATAACCTCGCTGCGCTCGATCGTCGTCGTCGGAAGACCGGTGATTAAGATCGACGAGAATAAGCGGAATCGGCGCGGTCCACTATACCGGGTGACCGAAATGTCGCGCAAACTGTATTGAAACGGCGATCGGGATACGGATTGCGTGACTTTTCGACCACCCAGTGTGTGAAACGCACCCCCTCCCTCCGCCCCAAAAGGCCGTGTTCCACGGTGTTTGCGATCGATGCATGGGCTGCTATGGGAATCGCGATCGAATCATCGACAGACGCTCTGACAAGTCTCCGCACAAACGGAAACGGCGGGGAACCACGAGACGACGACGGATGCGCGCCCACCGGATCGTGCTCAAGATCGTTCTCGGCGATTGTGCCGAAGTTTTATGCGCATAATTGAATCGCTGGAACGGACGGATTGGACGGGATGGATTTTTCGAGGAGGAAGAGGAGTTTCGTTTGTCGATCGCGTTTGGAGATCGCTTTAATATCGTAAGTTAATGTAAGTGGATATAGACAGAGAGGAGAAAGTAAAAGCTACGCGTTTCATTAAGAAAATTGATCGTTAGTTGGAGAGATTGATGGTGTACAGAGATAAAGAAATATATATATAAGCAGAAAGAAATTTTCCTATCTTTAGTTAAATTGGCGCCTATTTTTTAATAAATTTTAACAAACCTGTTAAGAGGTTCCCATTTGAATTCCTCAAACTCGTCGAATTAACTCGCCATCACGAAACACCCCTTCGAACAATTCCAATAATTCTTCTCCCTTCCCCTAACGATTTCTTTTTACACGCGTCGCCAATAACGGGTGCCTCCCCTCGTTCAAGCCCGAAATTCAAACCATCCCTTTTCGAGGGCAGAGACCTCGCGTCCCGTCGCGAGATTTCCCGAAAGCGCGACGCGCGGAGCCGGCTCGGCCGCCGATAAAATCGCATCTCCACCCTTCGCCCGAATTACCAACCCCCCCTGCACGAAACCCGTGGAAGAGCGGGTAGGAAAACGAGAGACGAGGGTTGCTCGATTCGAGCGATCGCGCGCCGGAGCTGTGCGCATGCGCGGTGGAGGGAGGGAAAGGGATGCGAAGGAAAGCTTCGAGGTTTCGAAAGCTCGCCGCAAGATGGCGACGCCTCTTGGAGGAGGAAGGAAGCGGACGACGCGCTCGACCCCTGCGAGGGCCAAGGGCGAATCGGCCAATCGGGGATGCAGCGAGCCTCTGCAGTTTCTGCAATTCGACGCGTGTCGACCGCCATTTTCGCCCGGCCCTCCCGTTTTCAACGTCGATGATTAATCACTCGCACGCGCGCACGCACGCACACACACGCGCGCCCTCTTTGTCGCGAGATAGGGAGACGAGGATTGCTCGTGGAGGGTCGGTGAAGGGGGCTGGAAAGGGTGGTTGGTCGGAGATGACGGTTTTTTTCGAGGGGGGAGGTTCATCGATTGTCCTCGTGTGGTAGAACGTTTTGGAGAGATGGGGTGTGGAGAGGGTGGCGGTTTTGGTGAGGTACTTTTTTGGGAAACACTGGGTTGGTGGTGTGCTCCTGGAATTTAATTGTTAATTATTAGAATGTTAGTTGGTAGAATGTTGATGTTGATTCATGTTATCCAAGAAGCTTGAATTTGATATATTGAAAAATAAAATTTGGAGTTTGTTAAAATTTTGGTATCTAGAATATAATTGAATGCATATTGCTATTTTATTGGTAAATTATCTTATAAAATATCTTTTTTCGTACAATTATTTCGCTTCAAGATTTGATCTCTCGTCAACTTCATTAACAAATTCTCAGCTGTTTGAGCTTTCCAACCATCTTTCCAGACTTCGTCTTCGAAACACCGTTCCCAGAACTGGCAAAAATTCAAACAACTTCGCCATCCTGTTCGAAGAAATTCGCTTCTTCGAAGCACGCACCTCGTCGACACTTCCTCAATTTACCTTTCACCGGACGCACCATCGGCAGCGTCCACCTTTCATCAACATGTCGAATTATCTGCTGATCACTACGCTATTACTCCACCTGTGAGCAATTTTTCGACAACCCTCTTAACATTCTTCGTCGTAAAATTTCCTCGAACACGCAAAATTCCAGCTTGGTCTCATTGATGGTTCGTTCCAAGAAAATTACGCACAGGAAATAACAATTTATACGATTAAATATTGATAATTTTACGCGACATTTTTTTGCATATTTTTAGCAATTTTGTCAATTTCTCGGAAAATAATAAATTTCCGTTGATAAATAAATTTTCAATCTTCAATCTTCTGGAGTTTTAAAAAATTCTGAAAAAAAGATCCAAGGTTATTAAGATTCTCAATTATTAAACTTCGTTTTATAATTCTCTAAAAAGACCGAAATATATTGTAGATGGTTAAATCGTGAATCTTTAATTTGCGTATCCCCTCAATTAAAAAGATATCGAGAAACGAATGGAGGCGAATTCGCGAGGGATAGAGGATGAATCGCAAGCAAATCAGCTTTGCAATTGCGTTAATCCATTCGCGTAATCACGAAACGATTCAGCTGCAACGAAACAATCAACGATATCAGGGCAGCGTCGTTATTATCATCAGCAACCGATATTCACGGTATATACTATGTATGTATCGTTCTACATCCATCTGGGTATTTTTAACCGATGCGGCTTGATAATTCGCGTGTTATCGGCAATTCCATTCATCTTGCGAAAGAAGGAACAAGTTCGATCGTTAACTCGTGAAGAAGAAATTTATGGAATCTAAAATGAGTTTTTGTAAACGCAAAATTTGGATTTAACTATCGAATTGAAAGGTATGAAAATAACGAAAGAATGGAAATGAGCAATCGTATCTATTAAATTCAATTAATGCGAATTTCCATATCAGC